TAGAAATGCATTTTTCTATTTTTGAATTAATACATTCTATGAAATAATAACACATAGCTTTTTTCTTGGGCTATATGGTTAAGAAATCTAAAAAGTTTTGTAAACATTTAAAAAATACCCTTTAAGTAACTTAATATGTTTATGACATTAATTATATTCTACAGTTAGGAAATTGATACCTTTAGAGATAAAATGTACTTTGGTAAATGGCATCCTTTCCTCAAATATTTTTGCTTTAAATAAACTGACATATCTGATGGTTGTATTTTTTAAATTTTAGGCTGTTTTTGCAAAGTATTCACTATCATCTTCACTTCTATTGCATTTTGCCTGTACAAATGTTTACTGAAGGAAAACAATGACATCCTGCCTATACCTGCGAAGAATCTAAAAATTGAGAAAAAGAAAAATACTAATTTATAACTGGATCATTATTATGTAAGAATTACACATTATCAGTCTCTCAGTGGAATATTATAGTAATAAAATTTAAAATAATTATAATATAGCCGTATATTTAGTAAATGAATGTAATATGATCCTATAAGTTTTATTATATTTTTAGTAAAAATATAATAATATAGTCTTTGTGTTTTAATTTTAAAAAGATATTCTAAGATACGCATTTAATACTTTCAATAGAAAGATAATACTTTGAAAGAAGAGAATAAAGTAGAAGTGGAAAAATACACATAAGTTACTTCTGATTGCAATGATATCTTATACACTAGTTATTGGCCTTTGGTTATATAGGAGTACTTAGGTTTCACATGTTTTATTTTTGTTACTTTTCATTAGTGCTGTGGATGTTTATTTCTCAATAATTTTTCAAAATAAAATTAAATTTGCCAATCCAATTCATATAATAAAAATTTAAACTAAAGATATATTTATTCTCCAAAAACACTATTTTAAACTTTTTAAAAGTTAACATTTTATTTATCTTTTATTTGATCATGAAGAGGTTTCCTCAGAAAATTTCTCAGGCCAGTTGGGCCATTTGCGATACATATTTTCCATGGTCCTTTAATTTTAATAGACATAAAATTCAATATTATCATATACTTCTCTTTGTTTACCTTGACTTGAGTTTTAGTGATAAAGACTACCTGATACCTGGTTGGTATCCATTTTTGTGCTTTCATATTTCATTTTATGGTTAATAATTATTTCATGTGAAGAAATATTCAAATTTGAATGTAGAAATGTGTCAACCATTTGCGGAATTTTTCTTAAGCTTCGATGTGTTTCTATAAAAAGTTTTTGTTATAATTATTTCTTATATCTTTGTGCACCCAAAGTAAATAGCAGTTTTCCAAATATTGGAATAAAAGTCAGACTTATAAAACAAAAAACTTCTCTACCATTTTTTTTCCTCTTGGGAGAATGAACAACTGACAAAATTTCTCTCTTGTTATTCACATTAGGCAATGACCCTATGTGTAAGGGTAGACATTGCCCTATTTATGGAAATATGAAGCTGGGAGTGTTCATACCTTATTTGACTTTAACATGAGTTTCTGAACATCTATAAACTAGTCTTTATGTGAAACTCTCTTTGACTGCTTGACTTTCTTCTGTTTGAAGCAGCAGGTGTGCAGAACATCTGAGGATCAGAATGTGAAGATAAGAATTTCTCCTTTAAAAATTCTACAAAATGTGTTTCTGTGCCCTACATTCAGAAAAGGAAAATCACACGTGTTTACTTAAGTGGCAGAAATGTATCTATGGAGATCTTTTGTCATAATAAAGTACTTTCTTGTGAAACATTTCTCCTGTTTTTAATGTGTATAGGATTTTAAATATCAGCTTACAATATAGATATTTCTAAAATAATTTAAGTGTTAGGTTACTTATATACTTTAATATTCTATTGTCTAAAAATATTTGAAAATTTATATAACCAGGAAATAGATAAAACAATAACATTCAGATCTATTTTGAAGATGCTTGCAATATGTGTGTATGTATAAATAAGTATTATCTATATATGTATTTATTTCAGAAAACAAACCAGCAAAGGTATAATAAAATTTAATAATTCAGAGAGTAGCATTGAGGCTTTAAATTTGAATATAGCTTTCTGCTACAACAGAACATACAACAGTTTGTATGTCACAAACTAGTTCATAGAAGATTGTAAATAGAGAAATGATGTAAGAAAGACATTCCATTGGTTAGCACCAATTTAGCAGCATTTAGAACAATTGGGAGGTTTTCTCACTATTAAAGAGTAGAACTTAACAATAAATTAAGTCAAGAAAAAACAGCTAAAAACCTACAGAAGTACCTTCCTTTGGAGTCCTTTATGAATGATTTAATGTTATCAAGAATCTTTATGTTTTCTACAACGTTGATGTAATAGTGAAGCTGCAAGTGCTGATAAAGAAGCTGCAAATATTTCTAAATATAAGGTTTTTAATTTATGATGAAACATCTCTATTGAGCATTCATGCCTTCAAAGAGTAACATCTCAAAGGAGGAAGGTGAGCCCCAGCATTTAAATGTACAACAAACTGACTGTGGTCCTGGATGAATATTGCTGGGGATTTAGCTGTGCTAAGATTTATTAAGACTGTGACTGTTTTTGTTAGGACTCTGGTTACAAAGTTGCATAGGTTTTTGTGTGGCTTACCTCTACAGTATTTTCTGCGTAAGCTTGGTTATTTCTGGTGCTTGATTTTGCCTAAAGGGACATTTTAAAGGAATGCATACATAATGTTACAGCAGAAATGCTTATATTTTAAAATTGATTAGAGTTTATTTGTGCTCTTCAAATAGCGTTTTCTCCAAAGTCTTTGAATAATTATTATGAAAACCCTAGTTTCTTGATCTTTTTCTTTTCTGGATTCTTGTTTATATTGGGTTGAAGTTTTCCTGCTTTAAATTAAGCATATATTCTGTCTTTTGTAGAGTAGAAAAATATCAAGTTTTGATCATGGCCATTTGAACAAGCATGAGGTAATACCTCATTGTGGTTTTGATTTACATTTCCTTAAAGATTAGTGATGGCGAGCAGATTTTCATGTACTTACTGGCCATTTGAATATTTTTGTTTTGGAAAAATGTCTATTAAGATCCTCTGCCCATTTTTAAATCAGATTTTTTTTTTTTGCTAATGAGTTGTATAAGTTCCATATATATTTTTGGATATTGACTCCTTATCAAGTAGATGATTTGCAAATATTTTTTTCCCATTCCATAGGTCATATTCTCATTCTGTTGATCATTTCTTTTGCTGTGCAGAAGCTTTTTATTTTGATGTAGTCCTGCTTCATTTTTTATTTTGTTACTTGTGTTTTAGGTGCCATTTCCAAAAATTATTGCCAAGGAACTTTTTCTTATGTTTTCTTTTAGGACTTTTATGATTTTTGGCCGTACATTTGAGTTTTTAATTTATTTTGAGTTAATTTTTGTGAGTGATGTAAAATAAGGGGTCTAATTTCATTCCTTTACATATGACTATCCAATTTTCCCAGAACTATATATTAAAGAGACTGTCTTCTCCATTGTGTATTCTTGGTTCCTTTGTCAAATATCAGTTGTTTGTATATTCATGGCTTTTTTTCTGGGCTCTTGATTGTGTCCCATTAGTCTATGTTTCTCTTTTTATTCCAGTACCAGATTGTTTTTGATTACTATAGCTTTATAATGTAGCTTGAAATCAGGAAGTGAAATGCCTCCTACTTCGTTCTTTCTCAGGATTGCTTTGGCTATTTGGGTCTTTTGTGGTTGCAAATTTTAGGATAGTTATTTGTACTTCTGTTAAAAAAAAAATGCCAGTGGAACTTGATAGGGATTGCATTGAATCTATAAATGGCTTTGGGTAGTATGGCCATTTTAACAATATTAATTCTTCCAGTCCATGAACATGGGAAATCTTTCCACTTATTTGTGTTTTCATTGATTTCTTTCATCAATGTCTTCTAGGTTTCTGTGTGAGATCTTTCACCTCCTTGGTTAAATTTATTCCTAAGTATTTTATTGTTTTAGATGCTCTTGCAAAGGGGATCTAGTCTGATGTTGAACCCCAATATTGAATTTTTTAGTTCAGTTATTATATACTGCAGCTCTGTGATTCTTGTTTGGTAATGTATTATATTACCAAAATTCTTGCTTTATTCATGGGTTGTTTTCCTGATCTTGGTGTATATCTTTATGACTATTATTTTGAACTCTATCAGAGATAACATTCATCTCCATTTCATTAAGTTTCATTTCTGGAGTTCTATCTTATTTTGTTTGGAACATATATCTCTGTTTCTTCATTTTCCTTTATTCTCTGTGTGTTGGTTTCTGAGCATGAGATAAAACAGCCACCTCCCATTCTTTTTTTTTTTTTCACCTCAATTCTTGACAGAGTAGTCTCATGTAATTTATCTTTTCCTTCATACTGGCTCTTGGTTATTGTGCAAACATTTGTGATTGTCCAAGCTTCTTTCTTCATTCTTAATAGCTCTTGGTAGTTGAGGGTATGCCAAGACCAATTTTAATACAGGTGTTTTCTTGTTCACCTAATCTATAGGAGGTGTTCAGCTAGTTTCTGGATCTCTTTCAGAGAAAATGGTTTCATGTGTAGCTGTATATTTAGTGTGTCCAAGGAAGGATGTGAGTTCAGGAGCCTCTTCTATCACCATCATCTTCCATGTTTCACCTATGTTTCAAATTGTCAGTCTCTCTTAGTTCACTCCCTCACCCAGGGGTGATGGGGGAGCTATAATGTTTGCAGGGGAAGGAGAATATGGAAATTTACTCCATATTTCTATTCTATATTCCTTAATCTCTTTTAAAATCTATTCCATATTTTTTCAAAATGAATATTTTTAAAAATTTTCCTTGATTATTTATATTCTATCTATTAATATGCCAACACAACAAGCTACACATAGACCTAATGGTAATAACAATGCATACCATAGAAGTTCTGGGCTTGAAGCTGGATGGAATAATTTGATGAGACTTTTGGGAGTATCTCCATATGCAGAAGACATGAGTCTGTTTTCTTGTTCCTTTTTTAAGGTGTATATGTAGGAAGAAGTTTGTGAATGATTGCTGAGAGCCAGTGGCAGATACTATTGATTGTTTAGTCAGTAGCCTTTTACACAATCCCTAATTCCTTGGTGTCAGAGCCCCTTAATGGGTTGTTGGTCCACCCATATATGGAGGCCAGGTGATAAGCAGAATGATGGAACTTAAGTGAACTTAACGTGGAGCACAAGGAAATCTGAGCTGTGCATGGGGTAAACTTTACCATATGTGTCCCTGCACTACTCATAGTTCTTTAGTGTTCCCTGTTCTACATGCTAGAGAATCCTTTGACTTCCTTAGAAGTTTCTTTCAGCCTGTAAGGGAAGGCCAGAAGTTTTAAAAAAGTAATGCCTCTAGGAGTTGCCCTCAGCCTTAAAAGTTGGAGAATTAACATG